AGGACCACAAGTGGTTGTCTGAAATTTATTCGTCTTGTATGTACAGAAGAGTTCGGGAATTGTACGGATTGTTTTTGTTACCGAATTAGGGTTTAATCTGGTCCCAAACATTTAAGATATAATAAGGACTAAGGAGAAGTGAACTGTCCATGTAAATTATGTAATCCAACGAATTGGGTAATGAAGTCATTTTTTGGGAGTCTTGTCTGAAACATTTGGAGTGTTGACTATCGAAGCTGAACAAAGTCTTTGGCTTCTGATGTTTCTGTCTGAGAGGAAAATGTGTTTGTTTGCAATGATCAAGTAATGATTATTGTGTTACTGTGTTATAGCAACACCTGTATATTGTAATCTAGTCTAGCTGGGTTAAACAGCTCCATGTCTGAAAGGTGTTTGGTGAGTTTCTTGATCAATCGGTTCTGCTGCTAATGTTAAAGCAATGCGTTGACCCTTGAAGCTGAAAAGAGAAGAAGCTTATAGCTTGTGATGTTTGTGCTGAAATAAATTATGAGCTGAAAATGTGTTTGAATGGTTTTAGTGTGTTGCTATGTTGAAGCTGCAGTTAGACAATTCCATATATGAATTTTGAATGTTTGGATGAGTGCATCGATCAATCGGTTATGTTTCGTGAATGTTACGTGTGTACTTTTCATCAAGACATGTTATGGTGCTTATGAACGAGGTCGCTGTTTTTTTTTTTTTGGGACTAAACAGAGCTTTAGATTATCCACGGGAGAAGGATGGAGCGCGTGTTCAAATGAGACTATCTTACAACCCGGCTGCTCAGTTTTTGCTTTTTCTTGTACAATGGACTGATTGCCAGCTTGCCGGTGCCCTTGGTTTGCTCAGAGTTCTTATCTACATGGTACATTATTTACAACTTCTCAGTTCCTTACTGCATTTTTCCAGACTGTTTCTTTTGATTGTTTGACCAATCCTTTTAACTGTATCAGACATATGCGGATGGGAAAACAACCATGTCGGTTTATGAGAGGAAAACCAGTATTAAAGATTTCTATGGTAATGTTTTAGGCGTATTTTGGCACATATTCAAGTGTTTGTTAACAAAAGTAATTGATATCCTTAATGCTTATGGGTTTTGACGTATTGTGTAACAGCTGTGATATTTCCGTCGCTGTTACAACTAGAAAGAGGTATCACAGACCTGGATGACCGCAAACAGAAAGAGGTCTGCAAAATACGGTACAGAAATAAAGATGAGATTGAAAGGATCAAGCTCTCGGAGATTGACATCGAGAGAGAAGAAGAATGCGGTATTTGTATGGAGATGAACAGCATGGTTGTTCTCCCCAATTGTACTCATTCTTTATGCATCAAGTGCTACCGTGATTGGTTAGTCAATCTCTCTAATCATTCTTCTTCTTCTCTTTTTTTTTTTGCATAATCGATTATTCAATCATAATCGATGTTCTCTTGCAGGCATGGGAGGTCAGAGTCATGCCCTTTTTGCCGAGACAGTCTTAAGAGAGTAAACTCAGGAGATTTGTGGATGTTAATGGAGAAATCGGATACGGTCAGTCTCTATACAGTCGAGAGGGAGAATAAAAAAAGGCTGTTTATGTACATAGAGAAGCTACCTCTAGTAGTTCCAGATCAAGTGTTTGCGTCTTCTCCTTATGATTGCCATGTCAAGT